GGGGGATTTACACCTAGACAGCGTCATGAAGGGCACTAGTGCGAGATAGCTGTTCTGCCTAAAGGCCCTGGCACCCCTCTCAGAGTCAGTGGAAGGTGGCTTCTTGCTTTCTTCTGAGAGCATGCCTGCCCTCTGCTGGCTGGCTCAGGAGTGCCTAGAAGGACACCTGTGGCAGTGGCAAATGGCATGTTCCTCCATCCATCATCATCTTTCCATCCACCCATCCTTCTGCTCATCCATCTGTCCATTCATTCCTTCCTCCTTCTATCCTCAATGTATTACATCCATCCATCCATCCACGCATCTGTCCGTCCATCCGTCCATCCTTCCTTCCATCTATCCATCTGGCAGATACCCAGTACATACCAGGCCCATGCTTAAGCACAGTGTGGACACAAAGATAAATAGGACAGGGCTTCCACCCTGAGAGTGTGCCCACTGATGGGACAGAGTAGCACACAGAGCAATCTGTTGTATAACACTAGCAGACGTAGTTTGTGCAAAGGCTTCATTTGCTTGTTTGTTCATTCATACATGTATTCACTCCATTCATTCATTCTTCAAATAGTCTTTATATGCCCAAAGAGGCAAAGAAGAAAAATTTCATATTAAGTATTATTATTGTTACCTAACATTTATTCAGTATTCACTGTGTCTCCTTTAATCTCTTATAAAGTATGTGCTGTTAATGTTGCTATTTTATTACTGAGGAAACCAAGGCTTTGAAAAGGTATGAAAGTTGCCCGATGTTAGTAAATGGTAAGGTGGGAAGTAAAGGTATTTGTCTGATTTCAGGCAGATTATACTGCCTGTCATCAATAGTGGTTGCATTTAGTTGAACTCTGGTCAAAAGGTAAGTTATGTCGTACCAGAAAAATGTGTAATTGAGTTTGAGTATTAGATTTGTGCTGAAATGATGAAGTATAAGTGACCCTATATGGTCCTACAAGCCATGTTATAATAGATATCTAGGATTGCATGAAACACCAGTCCTCTAAGGTTCAAGGTAATGAATACCCGGGCCTGGTGCAGTGGCTCACACCTGTAATCCTAGCACTCTGGGAGGCCAAGGTGGGAGGATCACTTGAGCTCAGGAGTTGGAGACCAGCCTGAGCAAGATCAAGACACCATCTCTGCTAAATACAGAAAAATTAACCAAATGTTGTAGCAGACACCTGTAGTCCCAGCTACTTGGGAGTCTGAGACAGGAGGATCACTTGAACGAAGTTTGAGTTTGCAGTGAACTGGGCTGATGCCTCAGTACTCTAGCCTGGATGATGCAGTAAGACTCTATCTCAAAAACAAAAAAAGAAAAAGCAGGGTGGTGCCTGTGAGTCAAAGGAGTAGGGCGCCGGCCCCATATGCCAGAGGTGGCGGCCAGCCCTGGCCAAAAAAAAAGAGAAAGAAAAAACAATAATGGATACCCAGGAAATTCTTAACCTCTAAAGTGACAGGGAGTCCTCATTTCAGAACTGCAGGCTTCTCTGTTGGGGGTGGGAGCATGAGGGGAGTTTGGGGAGGTCGAGTGGTCTGGTGGAAAGGGCAGGACACCAGGACCCAGTCCCCACTCAGCCACCTGCAGGCCTGGGCCCTATGAATCCGCTTCGAGCCAACTGCTCAACAGGCACCCTCCATGCCTCTGCAGGGCCCAGCTCTGCCCCCTGTCTCTCCAGTCCCGTTCTGTCACTCAGCAAATGTCAGTGTGTTGGTTCCACGCTGCCTTAAGGTGGTGCTGCACTGAGCCCTAGAGTTGGGGCTAAAAACACCAGATTCCAGAGGCAGCTGGCCTTCCTCCTGAAGAACTAAAATCAGAAGGAGAGGAGTGGAACACTGACTGTCAGGAATCGTCATAGAGACAGTGTCGTTTGACATTTTTAATGCCCAAGAGGGGCTTTTGTTAAAAGAACTAGTTTCAGGTCTTCAGTTAAATTATTATTAAAATTATTACAGTTGTTTTTCTTGAAACTTTAAGAGTCATCGCCTATTTTATTTGCAAACATTAATTCTGTCTAAAAAGAGCAGTGCTTCACTGGCTCTTCACATCGGTTCAGTTTATAAGATTAATAAGTTGTGAATGATCAACATGATCTGCCAATGCCATTAATTTACAAATTGAATTTGTCTGAATCTTTCAAGCACTTCACATACCTAACAAGACACCCTTAACAGAAGTAAAAGTTTTCTAAGCACTTAAACAAGTGTTTTAAATCAAATAGACCACATTGATTTGAACTAAATCAGTATTCTCAGAAGCCCCTCTGCATCTTTACAGACTTCCTCTATTTCTCTTGAACCTTTTGAATTAAAACCACCAGGCCAGTCTGACATAGCTTAGATAATAAAATGTATAGAGATGATCAGGATGATCATCTTAAACTTAAACATAATTGTAAAGTCCCTGCACTGATGCCACATGCTGTCACCTCTTTGCCTATTTGGCTGCCTGGGAGTGCAGTCACCTACTTAATGAATGCAGATTTGCCATCTCAGCCGAGTGCACTGGGTTGAATATTCCCAACAGCAATGTGGGTATAGACGCTGGTCACTGGCCAGGCACAGAGCTGGTGCTACAACTTAGCCACCCAACCTTCTGCCACCATAACTACGTTATTCCTTC